GGCCTGGTCCGCTAGTGGCGGCGGCCCCGCCTCGCCCAGGATGGAATAAACAGGTCCGGCTGGAGGGCGCAGCGCGGAGCCTCGAAAGGCCGCGCCGGATGAGGTTTCTGCCGGTTCCCGGAGGCGAACCTGAGGTTCCTGGCTTCTTCCGCAGGGAACCTGTCTGGCTCAGGCCTCCGTGCCGCGGCCATCTGGCTCTGGGCGGGCCCGCTGGGAGTCTGCCTGCGTCTCTGTGTGTCTCCGTGTTCGGGGCTCCTGCGGGTGCGGGCTGGCCCTGAGTGCCCGCCGGCTTCGCTGCCTGTGCGCGTCCCGGGGTCGGGGCCTAGTGCTACTCTGCCTGTCCTCACTCCTTGGGTGGCGCTGGGCACCGGCCTTGTGCGCCATGGTGGGCGCTGAAGTTCCGGGGACACTTGATGGCGCCGGCTCGGGGTCCTGTTCTAGCTTCAATGTGGGGAGGCTGTTGCAGCCTCAGAGCCTCCTCCTGCAGCCCCTGCCCTCGAGGGCACTGGCATTCTCTTTGGGACTGAGGGCTGCAGGTGGACTCCGGAGGAGGGTGATAAGCCCAGGGTCCAGCTGCACAGATGGGTCCTGAGGTTCCAGAGAGCAGAGCTCCCTGCAGGAACCCAGGATGCAAAGCTGACCTTTTTCTGGGGGGACTGAACTGGGAGACTGTGACTGCATTCGTGCAATCCTCCTGGCAGCCCTGCAGAGGAGGTACTGCGAGCCCATTTTACAGGCAAGGAAACTGAGGCATGGAGAAGTTAAGTGGGTTGTGGCACAGCTGAGGCGCTGACCTGGGCAGCCTGGTTCTGCATGTGTGGTCTCAAGAGACCAGAGTGAGGCCGGCTTCCTCCTGGGCACAGTGCCCCTGGATGGGAGGTGGGCATGAACAGGACAGGCTTCCAAGAGTCAGAGCGTGGTCAGCCAGGAAAGGCGGAGGCCACCTATTCAGGAAACGGGGCTGCAGCTGCTGTGCTGAGCCCGAGTGGGTGGCGGGTGCCAGTCCTCAGTTCACCGGCCTCTGCGGCTTCGTGTCTGCCTCACCAGGAGACCTAGCAGGGCCCTCCCTAGGCAACCCCCCCACTCCCAGTGCCCAGTGCTTGGAAGGGAGGGCCCTCAGGCAGCCCAGACGTTGAGTGGTGGGGGGGTGCCAGCCACTCTGCAGCTGCTCTTGTTCCTGAGACCTCTCAGGAGGAGGAAGTGGGGGATGGAGGCTCCTGGGCTGGGGAATAAGGGTCTGGGAGGGGCCTGGAACCCAGACCCTAGAGCCAGCTTTGTACCTCAGGCCTCTGCCTTTGGCGTGGTGGACTGTGGGTTATCAGCACAGGGGTAGGGACTGCCTTACTCGCCAGGTGCCAAGCTGGCAGGTGGGCCCAGGGCACAGGTTTAATGTTTAACATGCCCAAGTCCCGGCCCACTGATACTGAGGCTGCTGCCCCAGGTCATGGAGGGTGGGCAGTGCCTGGCATTGGCTCCTGTGCCCACCTGCCACTGCAGCTGCTGAGGCTGCTGGAACTGCCTCGAAGGGAAGCCGACAGCCTAAGGGCCCTAAGTGTCAGGTTACCAAGGAAACCAAGCCAGCCAGCCAAGGTCTAGAGAAGGACAGATGCCCCGTGTGGCCCCAGTCGCCCGCCTGCAGTGTGCAGTGTGGGGCTGGGCAGACAGGAAGAGTCTTGGTTAGCCTGAGGTCCCACCGCAGACTCCCCAAGCAGGGTTGATGGCCCTGCTGGGGTTCCCCTGGCTCCACTGGCTCGCCGTGACTGGGGACATTCTTTAGCTTTTTTTTTTTTTTTTTTTTTTGAGATGGAGTCTCGCTCTGTCACCCAGGCTGGAGTGCAGTGGCCGGATCTCAGCTCACTGCCTCAGGTTTACGCCATTCTCCTGCCTCAGCCTCCCAAGTAGCTGGGACTACAGGCGCCCGCGAACTCGCCCGGCTAGTTTTTTGTATTTTTTAGTAGAGACGGGGTTTCACCGTGTTAGCCAGGATGGTCTCGATCTCCTGACCTCGTGATCCACCTGTCTCGGCTTCCCAAAGTGCTGGGATTACAGGCTTGAGCCACCGCGCCCGGCCCATTCTTTAGCTTTGAGGCAACTCAGCTTCTGCATCCCAGAGGGGAAACTGAAGCAGAGGGCTGTTGCTCTCTCACCCCGTTCGTTCTCCAGCACCAGGATAAGACTGATTAGCCACATGTGTCAGCTGGTACCGTGGCCTGGGCCCCTCATCAGCAAGATGAAAGTGTGGTTAGGAACTAGTGTCTGGCCTGCCGTCCCCAGCACTGCCAGGCTTGGCCTCCTGAGGCCCTCGGGTGCCACCTGGCCCCTGACTGCAGCCCCTGGTGGTGTGGCTTTGGGAGTGACCTGCCTGGGTTCTGTGTCTGAGGTCAGTGAGGCCAGCAGACTCCATTTTAGGTCTCCTTGGTGCCTGGGGGACAAGCCAGAGGCTGGAGGAGCCGCGTCCCTTCTTCCAGGCTGCGCACTTGTTCAGTGCCGGGTTCAAGGCAGAGCCGCACGGGAAGGAGAGGCCTCTGGCAGCATCGTTTGCTGCTCCCCAGAGACAGACCTGGACCCCTCCCTCTGGGACTTCCAATCTGGATGGGGTTCCCGGCTCGCTGTGGGGCATGTTGAGGCTGGAGACTGGGCTTGTGGGGCTGCACGGCCCTACCCAAGAGAACTCAGCACTGCCTGGACAGTGAGGCTCAGCTTCTGAGTTGAGGGCTCTATCAGGCCTGGAAGTGGACCCGGGGAGGGGGAGGGCAGGGTAGTTCTGAGAAGTCCTAGGACTGTTTGCTTCCTGGTTCTGAGCCCCTGCGGCAGGGAGGAAAGGCCTGTCCAGAACAATGGCCAGAACCAAGCCTGGCCAGCTCCCGGCCAGCTCTGGGGGTGTCATCACTGCCATGTGCAGGGGCCGAGCCCTGCGGGGCCGTGAGCCGGCCCTGCCTTTTGCTTCCTTCCCAGATGCAGCCGCCTGTCCCGGGAGCCTGGACTGTGCCCTGAAGAGGCGGGCACGGTGTCCCCCTGGTGCACATGCCTGTGGGCCCTGCCTTCAACCCTTCCAGGAGGACCAGCAAGGGCTCTGTGTGCCCAGGATGCGCCGGCCTCCGGGTACGAGGGCAAAGGGGGAAGTCGATGGGGGGATGTCCCTGCGTGAACCTCTCCCTGTAAGAAGCGGCCGGCCGGGCACGGTGACTCACGCCTGTAATCCCAGCACTGTGGGAGGCCCAGGCAGGTGGATTTCTTGAGGTCAGGAGTTCAAAACCAGCTTGGCCAACAAGGTGAAACCCTGTCTCTACCAAAAATACAAAATAGCCGGGTGTGGTGGCGCATGCCTGTAATCCCAGCTACTCGGGAGGCTGAGGCAGGAGAATTGCTTTAACCTGGGAGGCAGAGGTTGCAGTGAGCCGAGATTGCACCACTGTACTCCAGCCTGGGTGACAGAGCGAGACTGTGTCTCAAAAAAAAAAAAAAAAAAAAAGAGGCCTCGATGCCCAGGCCTGTGCCAGGTGGTCCCAGCACCCCTGGACCTTGTGGGGTGTTGGGTCCAAGGCCTGGGAGATCCTCCTTCACTCTCCACGAAGCTTCCCATCCTTTCCAAATGGAGCTGGACCCAGGCCTGGGGCACTCAGGCCCTCCTAGGGGAAGGGCTGTACAATAGGAAATGCTGGAGTGGCCACGGGAGAGGAGGGGTCCATTCTCCCCGGGCCTGGGCTCTGCAGGGTCTGCCCAGAAGCCCTCCAGGCCCCCACTTCCCCGTCCACAGGCAGCTTGCTCTTTTCCGCCACTCACTGTCCTGTCCACCCGTTGGCACATGTTTATGCGTGCTGGCACGGCTGGGTGCTGGGTGTGCCCCACCTGCCAGCCTGAGCCGCATCTGTCGGGATGGTCAGTCACTGAGTGACTAGGTGTGGTGAGGGCTTTGCTCAGAGGTGCTGGGGGTGGGAGCAGCAGCGGCTTCCCGGAGGGGATGTTGAGAGGGGCACCGAGAAGTGGCTGTAAGGGTCTGTGTGGGCTCATCGCCTGCCTACCGGGGAGCGTCTGCCTGGACTGTGCAGCCCACAGTTGGCACCACTGGGGCCCTGCCGCCAGCCCCACCCCTGACGGCTGCCCCGTTCTCCTGATGACCTGGGGAGGGTCCCGGATGCTTGACTTCCTTCGGCTTTCCCGCACTCCTTGGGGAGTCACTGCCCCTCTGCCTGAGAAGGTGCTTGGAGGTGGGGAAGCAGAAGGGGCTGTGATGGCCAGCCCTTTATGGACATGGGTTGGGGCGAGAGATCCCACTCCTTCCTCCCCCTGCCCGGTCTTTGGACATTTCCCTAGCACCTCCTCCCCCTTGCCCTGCCCCCACTTTCCGGGAAGCACTGCCCGTCACAGGAAGCGCCCACACTGTCACCATGGCAATCCGGGAGGGAGAGGGCCCCCAGGCGTGTTCCCAGTTCTCAGGCGCCTGGGAGGAACCTGCCAGGAACAGGGAGGCCGGGCCTGGGGCTGCCTCCCGGACGGGGTCCCTCCACCTGATGGTCCCTCACCCTCCCCAGGTGGGGGCCGGCCCCAGCCCAGACTGGAAGATGAGATTGACTTCCTGGCCCAGGAGCTTGCCCGGAAGGAGTCTGGACACTCAACTCCGCCCCTGCCCAAGGCCCGACAGCGGCTCCCAGAGCCTGGTGAGACCCCCGATTCCCCTGCCCCATGGCCCTGTCCCGAGCCCAGTGCTCTCGCTCTAACCTGTCCTCTCTTACAGCCACCCTGGGCTTCTCAGCACGGGGACAGGGACTGGAGCTGGGCCTCCCCTCCACTCCAGGAACCCCCATGCCCACGCCCCACACCTCCCTGGGCTCCCCTGTGTCATCCGAGCCGGTGCACATGTCACCCCTGGAGCCCCGGGGAGGGCACGGCGATGGCCTCGCCCTCGGTAGGTCTTGGTCGGGGGTGGGCAGGGGCGGCAGGGCCCCCCGCAGAGGCCGCCCTCACACGCCCCCTTCCGCAGTGCTGATCCTGGCATTCTGTGTGGCCGGCGTGGCTGCCCTCTCCGTAGCCTCTCTCTGCTGGTGCAGGTGAGCCAGCGGCCGTGGGCAGGGCAGGGAGGGCACCACACGCTCAGAGGTCTCAGGCCCCACTCCCTACAGGCTGCAGCGTGAGATCCGCCTGACCCAGAAGACTGACTACGCCGCTACAAAGTCCCCTGGCTCACCTGCAGCGCCCCGGATCTCGGTGTGTGGCCCTCTTCGGCCCTGAGGCTCCCGTCCAACTCTGACCGCCACCTGACCCTCACCCCCTCCCCTACTCCTTCCCACAGCCTGGGGACCAGCGGCTGGCACACAGCGCGGAGATGTACCACTACCAGCACCAGCGGCAGCAGATGCTGTGCCTAGAGCGGTGAGTGGCTGCCCCGGCCCCGCCACCCTCTCCCACCCACCTCCCATCCCCACCTCCTCCTCCCTTGGTCAACTTTACCCTGGGCCCTGCCACCCTCACCTGCACCCTCACCTTCACCTCCCCTGCCGCCCTGCACCCTCACCTCCCCTGGCCAACTTCACCCTGGGCTCTGCTCCCCTGCCACCCCAGGGCTGAGGTGGGCTGAGTGCCCACTTCCAGACTGGGCCACTGGCACCTCGAGGGTGTGGGGAGGACCCAGCGATCCCCCCCCACCCAGGCATAAAGAGCCACCCAAGGAGCTGGACACGGCCTCCTCGGATGAGGAGAATGAGGACGGAGACTTCACGGTGTACGAGTGCCCGGGCCTGGCCCCAGTGAGTGCCTCAGGGTGTAGGGAGGGGCATACCATCTCCTGGGGTTTCCTCCCAGCAAGCATGCCCCCAGTCCACCCACTGCCCGGCCTGACACCCACGTTCGCAGACCGGGGAAATGGAGGTGCGCAACCCTCTATTCGACCACGCCGCACTGTCCGCGCCCCTGCCGGCCCCCGGCTCACCGCCCGCGCTGCCATGACCTGGAGGCAGACAGACGCCCACCTGCTCCCTGACCTCGAGACCCCCGGGGAGGGGCAGGGCCCGGAGCTTCCCACTAAAAACATGTTTTGATGCTGTGTGCTTGTGACTGGGCCTTGGGCTTCAGGCCCTGGGATCCCTTGCCAGGGAGACCCCTAAACATTTGTGCCAGGTGACTGCCTGGTCCCCTCCACCTCTCCTGTTCGGTTTGGACCCCCAAACTGGAGGGGCAGGGAGAACCGTGGAGCGCAGGAATGGGTGGGGAATTCTAGAGACAAAAGCCAATTAAAGTCCATTTCAGACCTGCGGCTTCTGCCTGTGTTGCTTGTGTTAATCTTCCGCCATCTCCATCCACCATGTGGGGCCCTGGTAGATGGACCTTTGAGTGGGGGCCCTGGGGTCTGCTCTTGCACCTTTGGAGGCCTTTCTGTCCCCTCATTAGGAGGACCTTCCTGTCCCGTGGAGCTGGAGGAGAGGCCACAGGATCATCCCCACCCTCGTCAGCCAGGCCTCACCCCTGCAGACCCTTCTACTCAGGTGGGAGAGGGGAAGGGTGCAGCATAGGGCTGGGCCAGCCCAGAGTTGGTTCTACGGTCCGAAAGACCCCATCCTGTGTGATAAAGAGGGCTGGAGCAGGGGACAGTCCACACACACCTGGATGTGGGTGCCCATCACCTCCAGGCAGAAGGAAAATGATGCAGACATTGAGTCTGGGTTTCTCACGGGGACCGCGGACGTCAGGCCCTGCAGCACGCGGAGAGGGGATGGCAGGCAGAGGTACTTGTGTGACACCAGCTGTGCACAGCCAGGAGGACTCATGGGACTGGGTGAGGGATGTGATGGGAGAGGCCTGGACACCTGGAGCTGGGACTTGGCCCCTCCTAAATTTGGAGCAAGGCGGCCCCAAGGGAGGGAGGGGGACCATGTGGTCAAAAGTGCCCAGATCAGGCCAGTACCAGGTCAGGGTGCAGGGGCTGAAACTCTGTGTCCCACTGACGCTGGGGATGTAGGAGGACTGGGTTCAGAAGCGCCTCAGTGGTTATTAGGAGTCTGGAGGTCCAGGCGCCTAGACAGCCCTGGTGTGTTCTTATTATTAGTCAGGGTTCTCTTATTTATTTATTTATTTTTGAGACGGAGGTTCGCTCTTATTGCCCAAGCTGGAGTGCAATGGTGCGATCTTGGCTCACCACAACCTCTGCCTCCCAGGTTCAAGGGATTCTCCTGCCTCAGCCTCCCAAGTAGCTGGGATTATAAGCATGCGCCACCACACCCAACTTATTTTGTATTTTTAGTAGAAACAAGTTTTCTCCATGTTGGCCAGGCTGGTCTCGAATTCTCAACCTCAGGTGATTTGCCCACCTTGGCCTCCCAAAGTGCTGGGATTACAGGTGTGAGCCACCGCACCTGGCCAGTCAGGGTCCTCTTAGAGGAACAGAACTAATAGGAGATATATATATGGAGGGGGGCCAGGCACAGTGGCTCACGCCTGTAATCTTAGCACTTTGGGAGGCTGAGGCAGGCAGATTGCCTGAGCTCAGGAGTTCGAGACCAGCCTGAGCAACACAGTAAAACCCCGTCTCTACTAAAATACAAAAAATTAGCCAGGCGTGGCGGCGGGCGCCTGTAGTCCCAACTGTCTGGAGGCTAAGGCAAGAGAATTGCTTGAACCCAAGAGGCGGAGGTTGCAGTGAGCTGAGATTGCACCACGGTGCTCCCGCCTGGAGACAGCAAGACTCTGTGTTAAAAAAAAAAAGAAAAAAGAAATATATATATATATATATAAAGGGGAGTTTATTAAGTATTAACTTACATGATCACAAGGTCCCACAGTAGGCCGTCTGCAAGCTGCAGAGCAAGGAGAGCCAGCCTGAGTCTCAAAGCTGAACTTGGAGTCCGATGTTTGAGGGCAGGAAGCGTCCAGCATGGGAGAAAGACGCAGGCTGGGAGGCGAGGCCCATCGTCTCCTTTTCACGTTTCTCTCCTTTATATTCACTGGCAGCTGATTGGGTTGTGCCCACCAGATGAAGGGTGGGTCTGCCCTCTGCAGCCACTGACTCAAATGTTAATCTCTTTTGGCAACACCTTCACAGACACACCCAGAATCAATACTTTGTGTCCTTCAATCCAATCAAGTTGACAGTATTAACCATCACACCTGGCATGGCGAAGATAAGAACCACTGGGCACAGTCCCTGGAGAAAGGGTGGGCCCGGCAGACTGGGGGAAAATTGCTCACCTCTGCTGGGGGAGACTGGCTTGACCTAAGCAACGTGTTTTGGGGGCCAGAGCCCACCCAGACCAGGAAGCCCCCTTGACCCTCACCTCTCTCCTTGACTGTGACCTTGGGCTGGCCCTCAGGTGGAAGCCTCCGTGGCCCTCTGGGCACTGCTGTGATGGGCAGGGTGTGATGGGAGCCTGTGTGTGGGCCCTGGTGTGATGGGTGCGTGCATGGGGCAGGGTGGACGCTGAGCCCTCGCGGTACGCCCACGCCCATGCCCACCGTCCTTCACTCTAAACCATTAGCCACAGGTAAAGTGGGCGGGTGCAGAGAGGCCCGGGCGTCACTCAAGGGCACAGGGCAGCGTCTGGCCCAAGTCAGTGTGTCACTGGCTAGGAGGCTCCCCTGGAGCTCCACAGTCAGTCCCTCAGGTCACAACACTCACCTGTCCTGCTGGCCTGACCCAGGGTCCCCAGAGCAGCCTCCTAGTGTGTTCCTCTTCTTGGGGTCCCCAACCTGTCCCCATGGTCCCTGCTGCCCATTCTCTCAGGGATTGGCAAGGAGGGACTTCCTCCCAGAGCAGCTGCATGAGAAGGGAACCGGTGGGCCTGAGCTGGGGAAGGATTGGCAGGGGGCTGGGGTCCTCCGGTTGCGGCACAGGCCCCCATGCAGCCCAGCACCCTGCTGCCCACTCGCCTTTTTGGATATTTTTTTTTTTTTTTTTTTTTTGAGACGGAGTCTCGCTCTGTCGCCCAGGCTGGAGTGCAGTGGCCGGATCTCAGCTCACTGCAAGCTCTGCCTCCTGGGTTTACGCCATTCTCCTGCCTCAGCCTCCCGAGTAGCTGGGACGACAGGCGCCCGCCACCTCGCCCGGCTAGTTTTTTGTATTTTTTAGTAGAGACGGGGTTTCACTGTGTTAGCCAGGATGGTCTTGATCTTGTGACCTCATGATCCGCCCGTCTCAGCCTCCCAAAGTGCTGGGATTACAGGCTTGAGCCACCGTGCCCGGCCTTTTTTTTTTTTTTGAGACAGACTCTCACTCTGTCACCCAGGCTGGAGTGCAGTGATACGATCTTGGCTATCTGCAATCTCCATCTCCCAGGTTCAAGCGATTCTCCTGCCTCAGCCTCCTGAGTAGCTGGGATTACAGGTGCACGCCACCACACCTGGCTAATTGCTGTATTTTTAGTGGAGACGGGGTTTCACTGTGTTGGCCAGGCTGGTCTCGAACTCCTGACCTCAGGTGATCCACCTGCCTTGGCCTCCCAAAGTGGGATTACAGGCATAAGCCACCACGCCAGCTTTTTGGCTTTCATTGGCCCCCGGCCAATTCAGACAGATGGCCTTCAACTTTGTCCAAGCTCCTGCCCCCAGCCATCAGGAACCCCCTTGCTCCCATAGGCCCCAGGCTGTGGGTGAGCTGCCCTGGGACCCCCAGGGAATCTGGAGACCCCAATCCTGGGCTTGGGACCTGGCTCAGCCTTGCCTGGGGTCCCATTACTTCCTTTCCACTTACCTTCTGCTGTTGCTATCCCTGTCCCAGCGCCCTGGTGGCAGCAAGAGGCAGACTTCACCGTGGTTTCTGGCTTGACCCTGAGCCCTGAGCCCGCCTGAGCCTACTGACCCTGGCCCGGCAGCCCAGCCCCCTCTCCAGTTCCCACTTGAGGAAGCCCAGCAGGGCACTGATGTGCATCTTCCAGCCTCAGCTACCTCCCCACTTGGTGCCCTGCCCACACCTGGTGACCTCCTGAGCACAGATGCCTAAGGGTGACATGCCCAGACCCCAGCAGAGACCCTGGGGTGGCACTCATCTGTGAGGAGATGCCCCCAACCCAGCAAGATGCTGGGGCAGGGCCATGCTTGGCCCAGAATGTGGGGCATGTGATCCCCGAGCCAACACCCTAGGAAGTGAGGACCTCCCCAGCTTCTGGCTCTGGGTGGCTGGGTGGGCCGGCCCCAGGTGCAGAGTGCCTGGCTGCAGCCCTCCCCTACAGCCACGCAACACAGAGGAGCGGATCAGGGTAAAACTTGGGGTGCAGAGTGGGTCCCTGGAGGACCAGAGCCCCACCCAGCAGCTCCACCTGGAGGAGAACAAGGACACAGACGTGATCCCCCCAATGTCCTGGGGCTCGTTGGGACGAAAGTGGGAGGGGAGGTGCTGGGCTCACCCGCTGCACCGCCCCGTGCTGCTCCTCGACCAGTTCCTCCACTTGGGGGTCCCCTTGGCCACCTGCCAGGCTCCGTGCACCCACCTACCTTTCCAAAGGCGGGGTCGGAGGGGCTCTCCAGCCCCCGGTTCTACCTTGTTACTGAGGATGAAGGGCCGGCTCCCTTCTCGCCGGGGCCATGTAGCTTTGCAGCACACCACCAGGGGGCGCTCGAGACACGCATCTGGACTGCCCCGCTCAAGCCAACCCGGTGAAGCAGGTGAGGGGTCAGGGAGACAGCCAGGCTCAGCCCGCTCTCTGAGGCGCCCCTCGGGCTGGGGCTGGGTGCCCCTCACCTTGCTGCTGCCCTAGGTGCCGCTGTCTGCGGGGGGCACTGGCCAGTGGTCTGCTCTTGGTCTGGAGTGGGGCCCACTGGGTTGAGGCCTCTTCCCTGGTCACCCTCTGGGAAGCTGGCCCACAGTGAAGGCTCAGCTGGGAAGAGCTTGTGTCCTGATCATCACGATGCCCACAGACCACGGAGCTGGGGTTGGCTGCCTGCCTGGGTCCACACAAACCCAGGGAGTCAGGAGGCCTGGGTGGGGTGAGATGAGGAGGAGCCCCCACACCCCCAACTTTCTCTTTGACTCATGCCCTTTTCTTTCCTCTGAGAGGCTTTCGTTCTGACCCATTTCTGGGCAAAACCCCCGAGCCCCGTTTGCCAGCTCGCAGGTTCCCACGCACGGCTGGGCCCCATGGCAGCCACCCTGCCCAGGGTCCTCAAGGAGGAGCAAGCTAGGAGCAGAGGGTGGGGGAGGCTCCTGCAAATCCACCCAGGAAGGGAGCAGACTGGCTGCGGCTGAGGTCGGTGGCGAGGGACCCTGCCAGCCTGGCAGCACAAACAGGAAGGATGGCGGGCTCTGGCAGCCAGAGGCCGGGTCACCCGCAGGT